ACATAACACCGTTCTTTTCACCATATGTGTTATACAAGCACACAAAGAACTTCACCTTTGTACCTTCGACAGCTGTACGAGTAGTACAGCAACAGGGAATGTACTTAATACTGCCATAGGAAGCATTTGGTCACAAATTAAACTTCCACCATACGTAATTTTGCTTTCCACTACAGTTCAGCACTTAAAAACTCAGAAGTTTAATGTGTTCTTTAAATTTATATATTACTTTGCCCTGCAAATTCAAATAAGAAATGGATTAAGAAGTACTAAGTAGTATTCATTTGTGTCTAGTACAAAGCAAAAGACCAAGACAGACTTATTTAGAGCCCCTAGAGGTTTTAAGATAACAAGTTCCATAACAATATTCTTGTCCCCATGCCACACTAACTTCTGTGCGCCTACTAATCCAGACTTTGAAGTTTTGCTCTACTTAATTAAAAAATTAATTATTGCTCCATAGCAATAAAACTGTTATATCTGGTGTTTCAGTAACCAACTTTTAGCATGCACATATTATTATATCAACTATCCCTTACTGATGAACAGAAAATAGGCTTTCAAATACCAACAGCAAAATTTAACCACGTTTTCTGCCCAAGCTTTTCTTCAAAAGCTCATTATTATGCAGATACAATAGCAAGTCTATACGTGCAAGCAGTTGCTGAAGAACAATCAAAAGGAGAGTGAGAACAATTTAAGCCCCTTGGTATCAGTGCCAGCAGCTGAACAAACCAGAACCCTGACACCCCCGGAGGCTTCCTCACAGCACATTTCCACAGAGCTACCCTGCCTCGCTTAATAATCTTCCCTAGCAGGTAGCATTCATTCTGAACAATTACTGTCCATTATTTCTCTGTCAGAGGCAATACAGCTCTGAATAATGCAAAGGTCAACCCTCTCACTGAGCATTTGGTATTTGCCAAACAAAATATTGGGGGGGGGGGCAGTTTCTGATGCAGCAGAAAAAAAAAAGGAAGCCAAGTTTTGCTTACTTTTAAAATTAGAAATAGAATAAAAATTGATTGAAAACTTTGTCCTGACAGGATTACTAGCTGGTTCTACAGATTAGATCTGTTAACATATTTTAGAAGCACTGTAATTAAAAGCAGTAAGATTTTTCCAGAAAGTTTTTTCCAAGTAATGTTTGCTCCCTCTCAAACCTGGGAGATCCAAAAGCACATCTTTCAGTCTTTCCATATCAAGCACTTCGAAGCCTGATTTTGAAAGTGTTGGTCTCATGTCTATCAGCATTTTTCCAGCTAAACAAAACTTCTACAGATTTTATTAAAAATGAACCAGAAAACCTCAAGATTTTATGCATTCCAAACACCTGTATCTCAAATAAAAAGGTTTAACTGTCTCCTTTAATTTCAGAAGACTCTCTTGGGAACAAAAACCCACCAGACCTTTCAAACAGATTTTTCTTAGCAACCTACAGCGGAAATTGATGTTGTCCACTAAGATATATCCTAAGGGAGTAGTAATACAATACAGAATATTAGTATTATATTAACCTGTAGAACAGAGAGGTTTTTACAAACTACAGCAACAAGCTGTTATGCTGCACCTAAAGAACGTATTTAATACTCTCGTCTATGGGTGGTCCAATAACTTACACTCAATCTAAGTCAGAGAAAGAAAAGGCTTAAATGTGAAGAAGCTTTTTTTTTTCTTCAGTAAGTGCTTCCTAAAGTAGCCTGGCCAAGTCCAATAGACGAGAGCTATTCTCTGCTATTCTCCAGAGGAGCAGACAACTGAAAACACTAGGAATTTTAAACAGATTCACAGACGCTCCCCTCCCCATGCCTCCCAAAGGAACTCAAAGGTGTGAAAGGTAAAAATGTGCTAGATTATTTATTTTTGATATCTTTTTGGCAACACATTGTAATTTTTACCCTTCGATAAATACAACTTTTTCCAAGGTGATGAAAAATTTGGCACAAGTCCTATACAAAAAATCAACTACACAAACCTCCTTTTGTATTCACTGCCCCATATTAACATCAAAGATACTCAGATGTGTAAAAAAATAGTAACATTTTGTCAATCCCAGGCACAAAATTATACTTATGAGATTAAACACAATAGGCACAGGTTGTTTGGTTTTTTCATTCTTTTCAACTAAGAAGAAAAGTCATGGATTGGAAATGGTTGCCATGGGAGGCTTTCAAGACCTGTTTGGATAAGCCCCTAGCAGCCTTATCTGACCTAATAGCCGGCACTGCTTTGAGTAGAAGGTTGGACCAGAGATCTGCCAAGGTTCTCTCCAACCTGAATCATCCTATGATCCTAAGAAAAAAATGCACGCGCACATCCAAAATTCAGCACAAATCCTTCTGAAGCACTAACTACTACTTGCAAGGAACATAAAGGCCCGAAGTTTGGAAGACAGATACAATGACAAGAATATCAGCTCATCATCCATCCCTGTCTTGGTACCTTATGAAGGAACTAGAAATGATCAAGGATGCTACTGCAGTAAACATGTCTGAATTCTGACAACTACACATAAGATTTTCATCCCCCCACGTAAGCACAAACTACACCATTTTGCATCAAATTACCCATTACAACCTTTTTAATTAGCTGTTAGCTGTGTACCCGTTTTTCCCAAAACCAGTTTCTCTGCATGCTAGAAACTATGGTTAAACAAAACTGTAATGGAAAAATATTTCTCTTGGGGATTTGTATGTTTGAATTTAGACATATGTAATGAAGACAGTACTAAGCAGTGTTGCAGTCCTACTACATACACACACTCAGGGAATCTTACAAACTGTAATCTATTTCTCAGAAAAACTGAAAATAGACATATCCACTGCAAAATCTCTATGTAACACCACGTAAATTTACAAGGTGTTATGTCAACATCCTCTTCCTTGGAAGCAGTCTCTTCCATTAATTTAATGCCTTAATTTCTGTAAGAGCACTGTTTCCAAAAACAATGTTGACTCATCTAATGCAGCACTACCAGGATGAGCTAGTTGGAGACAATAGAACCAAGCACAGAGAAAAAGCAGTAGCCTCCAGGAAAAAAACAAAGCTTTCCAGAGTGAAGACTTCGATTCCACAGAAAGATACAGTCTGCTTCCTACAACCTACCTAATTCCACTGGCTTCACAGGAATTGAATTTAACATCATTAAAAGAGAAAAGGTCTCTTTTATTCAAAGAAGTGAAATAAAGTGATTTATAAAAGTCTCCACAATAACTACGTGTCATTTAGAACATATCTTGAAGATCCAAATGCTACTTAGGCTAGGCATTTTTCTCTTTACAGGTTTTAATAGCTAGTTCTAAAAATAAAACATGTTAATAAAAACACCATCATAATTTCCATCTTTGTCACATCCCAACGTATTTCACAGCAAAACAATCCAACCAGTAAATAAATGTTTCTAGCCATAAAATCACTTGCAAGTCAAAACCAGTAACAGCTACACATACAGAATATATCATGCCAAATTACTGTCCACTACTATTAATTACAACAAAACCAGATGTGAGATATCTTTGTGAGAGGGACATCCAAACACTTCATCTTCAATAGAATGAAACAGTTAATTGCTAAGGGCTCTCCACATTTCTGTTTAAAAAAAGTTTCTCTCACTGAATTAGACCAAGCCTTGAGCCACATCACCATTTGCTGAGCCTCTGTCCAACATGCTTTAGTTACTGGCAACGCATTTAATCCTCCTCTGCTTGCACAGAAATTCATCTTTGAGTTTGGCAAGAAAAGAGCTATTTCAGAATGAATGCCAGAAGGTAATTTATTGAACATCCAATGCTCAGGCCCTAACAAACAAGTTGTATTACACTGCCTCCCTGTGCACAGTGTCTGCCTGAAGCTCAAATGAAAAAGGCTGAAGAATCTATATTAGACATCGAACTAACCAATAATTCCCAAAGGAATGATAACTATCTTACAGCCTGTTCTCAAAAGCATTTAAGTAGTTTTGAAAAATTCTAGACAGAAAATAATATTGAACTGTGGGATTTGATTTCACTTAAATAAAGAAAGAAATTGCAAAAGTAAGAAAGAAAACCAGGTAAATTCATATGGCGGACTGCTTTTTTATTCAGTGCTTGTACAACATCTTGTATAAGAGATTCTTGGGATGAATCAGGATTTCTAAATCATAGATGAAAAATCATTGACAAACCCCAACAATTTTACAGCAGATAAAATTGCTCTAGTCCAAGGAAGAAGCATTTTCCTATTTAATACACAAGATGAACTAAGCCAAAGTATTTCAAACTCAAAAATAAACACAGATAACTGTTCATCTCTGTGGGCCTCATATGACATTCTGAAATGAAGAGAAATCACTCCTCCAATGCTGACCATTCAAAACCTAGTAAAAGTAGTTTCATGTGTAAGTCAAAACCCCAAAATGTTCGTATCTAGCACCCTATTTTTTTAATCAGTATCAAGCACATCAACACTGATGTTCAGAATTTACAACAGCCTCATAGAGACATTTAGTAGAGAGGTTTAAGTTCAATGTAATCACCAGTTCCAATTCTTTCACAGACCATGAAAACACAGCATTGCAGAAAAGATTAAAAAAAAAAACAACCAACAACAAAACAAAATCTACAGTTGAATTTTACTGGGAGAGAGAGGAAGGTGTACTTTATAACATTTTTAAGACTAGCTGGCCCTTAAAAAAGTAGTCGGGTCCTTAGGTTGAAGTACAGAAAGGTCAGATCCCTGAAACTAAAAGAAAGTGAATCAGTCAAAAATGAGTGAAGCAAATGCAACTGATTTGCTCATTTGGACAGCATGGAAGAATCAGGAAAACACACAACCTACAATCTCTCAAAACACGCAGTTTACAGAAACACTGTCACAAGCTAAGCTTCTAAGAGCTGTCAGCAGAATGTCTGTAATTCAGCTTTAGACATGCAGGTAACTGATCCCTTTTGTTCAGGGAAACTAATTAAATGGAAACAAATCAGCTTTACAAATGAAAGGGAGGAAGGTGCAACACTTACAGCAGTTGGATCCTTCAAATGGAGCTGAGTTGCTGTCACTTGTTTGAAACCACCAGGATAGCTAGAAAAACAGAACGAACATAGAAGCTTAATGCTATATGCTTAAGCATGATGTTAACACTAATATCACTTCGATAGGACAAGGGGTAACGGCTTTAAACCGAAAAGAGGGTAGATTTGGATTAGACACAGGAAATAAATTCTGTTATTGTGACGGTGGTGAGGCCCTGGCACAGGTTGCCCACAGAAGCTGTGGGTGCCCCCTCCCTGGCAGTGTTCAAGGCCAGGTGGGACGGGGCTTTGAGCGGCCTGCTCTGATGGAAGGTGTTCCTGCCCACGGCAGGGTGGTTGCAACTAAGTGATCTGTAAGGTTCCTTCCAACCAAACCCTTTGATGATTCTACAATTCACTACATTTCAAACAGTAGTGTAACGGTATTATAAGCCTCTAAAAAAGGAAGTTGTTCTCATGAGGTCAACAACTATACAGCACTAGAAAGATACTATCCTGTTCAGTATCATAAGATTAACGCCATTTGTACTTTCTTCTTTATTCACTTGAGTATTAAAAAGTTTGTGTTTCACAAGCAGACAGGTATAAAACTGATTAAATACTCCATCACAGCTACACAATATGATAGGAGTAAGATTCGCAAAAGTTGGAAATATTTGAAGATGATAAAGACTTGAAGATGATCAAGACTCACAACCAGTCCGTGGTTGACATACAAGATAACCATTTTGAACAGTACTTATTATTTTCTTACTATTTTAAATAAACCTTAGTATGATTTGGCATATGTACAGTAATAAAATTTGACTTTTACCGCAATGCAGCCATCTTTCAGAAGTCTACGTGATATGGCAAAGTTGCACTAATTCATAATGCATATACTTTAAATGAATGATACAGTGGTGGAAGAAATTACACAGATGTCAGGCAGAGCTCAGTTTCATTTTGATTTAATTACATAACCAAGTATCAGCCCAAGTGAAATGAAAACAAACCCAACATCACTAAAACATGTCTACTAGGGAGCCGCACAGATTTAAGTATTTGTTTTAATTGCAGAATTCTTTTCACTTACTCAAAAACAACTTAGCTTCTTAGGCAAGCGCTTTAACTTACAGAGAAGTTTTTAGTGAAAATTTTTAAGAAGTCATCGGGATGGGGTGAAGAAAAACAGGTGTTAATTCCTGTTGACTCTGAACAAGAACTTCTCAGCAATTCAGCAATGGAATTTCGAGATTGAAACATGAGTACTAGCAAAATTAGCCACCTTAGTGTGATTTCATTATCTCCTGGCTGGAAATATTTTAACACTTAAGAGATTATTATCTAGTGCTGTCACTGTATAAAATGGAAGTGACTGTTCTTACTCGACTCAACTGCTCATTGCCACATCATCTATAACTGGTTATGGCACTTCCATCTGTAAACAAGTTATGTTACAGTCTGCCAGAATAACATATTATCCACTATTGTATACATCAGTATGTCTTAGGAGCATCTAATTTCTTACTAGTTTTTCCAATTTCTTTTTTTTTCATCCTCTGATTCAATAATATATACATCTTGATATTTATGTTAGGTAGATATGTACTGGTAGGATAAAGTAATTGAAGTTGGCAACTGCATATATCTTAAATGCGCAGTGCCAATACGAATGTCTTCTGCTGCTTAGTAAACAGAATAGTCCTGCTCATTGGGTTCACTGGTTCACACAAAACAACCTGGCTAACCAAATTTTACTTACTCAATTGCTCTGACTACTTTTGAGTCAGATTGTTTCAAAACATACAGCAGGGCAAAAAAAAGAAAGAAAAGAAAAAAAAAAAAAAAGAAGAAAAAGGTTTGCATTATTTTAAACACTGTAGCACATGCAAAGAAAACCCAAAACCTGTAAGCAGGAATTCGCCTTTGAACCAATATGCTAAAAAAGACTTCAGCTATTAAGAAAATATGACATTAAATTTACCACTAGCTCATTTGAGCATTTATTATAAAGCTTACCCAGTATGTGAAGAATATACCTTCTGTTCCCATTTGTTACCAGAGAAAGCAATATGTCTTGTATTTATTATGACAACATGATCTCCGCAGTCACCTACAAGGTAGAAATTAGTGGAAAATATTAAAGGAACCATAGGAGTACTCCACCAAAATAACAACTATAAAGTGTGCGACACATACGTAGTAGCACATATATACACTTGTCATAAGCTCAGAGCTTGAGTCACATCACCTAAATCTGCACTTAAATACCAACTTTAATTACTATTTTTGTTAGTATTGTCAGGTTATAAGGCAGGTGAGAAGGTTAAAAAAACATCAGGCTAGATAATTAAACCATTGCAATTCTTCAGCTAAGATCTGGAAAACTGGCTTACAGGCAAATGTATTACTTTATTCAACAGATTACGCTGCATATGCACCTACATTTCTAAAAACCAAGAATAAAAAAAGGTTAGTTCTAAACAATGATCCTAAATATTTGTTTAATTTTAGTTTTCTTATAAAAACAGTACCAACATTTACTGGAGGACTGAATATTCTGGGTAACTAAAGTAATTCTATTTTTATAATTAGAGCCTAGGGCTAAATACGTAAAAGAAACAAAAAGACTGTGGGGGAGAAAAGCCCCACAAAAAAAAACATAAACTAGCTCTGTTGGGGAAAAAAACACATTTTTATCAATCAAGCAGAAGTGAATGTTACCGCACAGATATGTTTTGTGTTCTATCAGCAAACTTCACACCAAAAGTTTTTTAAGTGCAAAGACTATCACCAATACCTTGCCAGAAAGTTACTTTAACAAATCTTATTTACTAATAAAATGCTAATAAAACCCATGCTATCTCAAAAACGTGATGGAAATATGAAAAAAGATGTAGTTCTTCATTTCAGAAGTAATCAACTTGATCAGCTGTATAAGCTATAACCACCCACTCAATCAACTGGAAAATGATTTGCCCAAAGTTCACTCTCATGTGTTTTACCATATTAGCATAACATAAGTATTTGAAGAGGCTCATTTGATCAATTTTGAGTAGGTAACAAAGCAGCTACACTAAGAAGGACTTAAATGGAGCACGCATTTTTTTACAGGATCATATAATTAATCAATGCAAGTTTCACACCCTATTTTTCTACCATTCTTTAATCTTGTGTTCTTTTAAAGCTCTACTTTCAACTACAGGTACGTGCAAACACAATTTAAACATCTTCATTGATGCAGCCTTTCACCACTGACAGATCAGTTCTAAAACCACTGTATGTCTAAATAAACTTCAGGGAACTGACCCAGATCCCTCTCCGCAGAGCTGCTCTCCAGCAGGTCCGCCCCGAGCCTGCACTGGTGCATGGGGTTGTTCCTCCCCAGGTGCAGGACCCTGCACTTGCCCTTGTTGAATTTCATCAGGTTCCTCTCTGCCCAACTTTCCAGCCTGTCCAGGTCACGCTGAATGGCAGCACAGCCTGCTGGTGGATTCACCACTCCTCCCAATTTTGTGTCATCAGCAAACTTGCTGAGGGTGCACTCTAACTCTTCATCCAGGTCATTGATGAAGAAGTTGAACAAGACTGGGTCGAGTACTGACCTCTGGGGGACACCACTAGTTACAGGCCTCAACATAAAGAAAGAAGAAACATAAAAATCCAGACTGAAACCTCCTGAACTAGGTTGTATACCCTTACTTCAGACATATGATCTGACAGCATCTAAAAATACGAGACTCCGGAGAATAATGAAAGATTATCCCCAAAACAGAAAATAAATATACATGAAATCAAACTTCTTTCCTTCCCTAACCACAGCTTAAATTCGGCTCCAGATGCTCTTCAACACAATAAATACACAATGATTTTATAGAAGTGTATCTGGATACCACATTAAAAACAAAACAAAAAAATCCCCATAATGTTATTCTGTCTAAGGAACTTTTATCTCACAGACACTAAAACATTTCTTGTTAGCTCAGGAAAAAAAAAAAAGAAAAGAAAAAAAGAAGTGTTAAGTACACCAACCACAAATTCATGCATGCTTTGCTCTCTTAGAGAATATCAAATGTCTCTCAGTAGTAGTAACCGATCAATGTTAGTCTCAGGTGTAATGCATTTGGTACTGATTTACAGAATACTTTAGAACAAATAAAGTTATCCTTTAAATGACTTTTCAGGGTTTTATAACTTCATGGACATAAAAATATCAAAGATCTTTCCCACAGGACAACCAAAAACATTTCCTCTCAGCGGCTGCTTTATTTTTCAGACAGCCTTAGTCTCCAGTGACATCTTGTGGATACGCCACAATTTGCAACAGCAGCACTCCAGTACCAATACGTCCCTAGAACACTACAAATATCACCTTCTATTATGAAAAGCCGATCAAGTATAATTTTAGTTTGTACACTCCACAAGTATCAGCAAAGTTTAATGCCTCCCCTATGTTTCAGTAATGTCTCTTCAAAAATTTGCATGAGTATTACAGCAAGCACCATACCATCAATATGAGGAATCACCTTTTTATTATCTATAAAATGCTTATAACTGCAAGACAGGCACTACAGCATTATGAAGATCACAGATACATCTTTACTGCTCAATCTTCTGATCTGCAGGAAAGTAAAATGACTTTTTCATTTAACCAAGAAGATTTCTTTCAACAATGATTATGTTGCCCATTTAAGAACCAGACAGGTTCCAGTCTCCTCATCACAGAGCGTCTGAGGTTGGAAGTGACCTCTGGAGGTCATGTTGTCCAATCCTCCTGCTCAAGCAGGACCAGCTTTTGGGTATCTCCAACGATGGAGACTCAGCAACCTCCTGGGCAACCACTTCCAGTCACCCTCACAGTAAAAAAGTGTTTCCTGATGTTCAGAGGGAACCTCCTGAGTGTCAGTTTGTGCCCGTTGCTTCATGAAGACAGGACCTCTCTGCAACTTATTCATAATGATCACTCCAAAACTCTGTAGCATTGTGCAGTTACTAAACATAGCATTTAGAAAATCTAATCAAGAATCACATCAGTGTTTCATTATGTGCACTGCAAATTAAATCTTTGCATTTAAAATAAATGCAACAAAACACATTTCAAGGTTTTTAAAAAAATGGAAGCACAACCCACTGTAATTCAGCTACTAAAAATAAATTATGAATTCCTACCAAGCTTTATATGAATTGGTAAAGAAAACAATGTAAGGTTGTAGAGGGGTATAAAAGCAAAAGATGAGAACGAAAACTAAGACACCTATAATTTACAACTGAAAAAAGTAACCTTACGTTTCAGGCTTAATTTTAAAACTGAAATCAGAAGAAAAACACAAGCGAAGGAAACCAAATGTGCTTTTATCTACTGCAATACTCACTCAGTGCATGATAAATAGGTTTATGCCTGCCTTCAAGCCTCATCACAGTCGCAGCTGCTATTTTTCCTGGTGGCTGCATCTTGGCATCGAGGAGATACCAGGCTCTAGCAAAAGTAGCCCATTGCTGAAGAGGAAGAGAGGCTGCACTTAACAGAGTAGAAGAGCACACTATCATACATAAATCTAGCTTTTCTAATCAGACCAACACTTTCTTTACACTGCAAAATACCAGAAGGAATACTCATATTCAGCAACACCCCCTCTGAACAACCTTTAAGCGGACGGAACACGCTGCCGTACACTCCCAGCCGTACGCGCATCCCATGCCAGTGCCGGTACCAACACTGAAGGGTGACCAGCGCGCAGGGCTTCGTTTCAAAAACGAAGATCTCTTGCTGTAAGCTTCCATTACTTCTAACTGAGCTGCAAAACCGCTAATACTCATATTCAGCAACACCCCCTCTGAACAACCTTTAAGCGGACGGAACACGCTGCCGTACACTCCCAGCCGTACGCGCATCCCATGCCAGTGCCGGTACCAACACTGAAGGGTGACCAGCGCGCAGGGCTTCGTTTCAAAAACGAAGATCTCTTGCTGTAAGCTTCCATTACTTCTAACTGAGCTGCAAAACCGCTGTAGGCTGTTT